AATCTTATCTTCAATTTTCAAATCTAAAATTTTTGCTCAATCTTTAACTCAAATATATCAGCTTAACTTTGATCATTTCATCACTCTTAACTTTGATCCATTTTTCCTTTCACCAGAGCCCTTGATTTCTCTCCCTTTCCTAAGAAAGAATATAAAAATTATAAATTATAATATTTTTATTCATTTATTTATTTTATAAAAAAATTTGATTACTTTCTTTCGTGTTAGGTAGTATGTTAGGTAAGTTATTAAGTGATATTATATTAATTTTAATATTATGTATGATTAAATTATAGTCTAATTATTTTTTTTAAGACTTAATTAACTAATTTATTAAAAAATAATTAAATTAATTGTAGCATATTATTGTATTCTATATTATCTCTAATATTGAAATTAATCTTATTTTTTTAATATTTTTATTTGATTTAATATTTTTAATGCTTTTACCAATATTATATTTATTGTTAATTTTTTAATGTAAGTGAATAGTGAAAGTAAGTTGCATAATTTATAAGTAGTACCTAGTTATATCTCTCCTTTAATTCTTATTACAATGACCAGACAAAATATAATGAAATGAATATAAAAATTAATTTAAAATATCATTTTTAATATATTTTTTAAATAGTATAATTATAATTATGTTACAATAATTAAAAAAAAAGCATCACTTTTCGTAATCCAAATATGAGTTAAGCCATTAAATAAAAAAATTAAACAACATATAAAAGTGTATAACCCATCTACTTAATGTCTTAAAAATTTAAGTTAAGGGTGATTTGAATCAATTTAGATTAACCAACATATAACTTTTAATTTTAAAATATACACTTTTAAATTAGACCTTAGACTAAATATCACAACAATATCATACTAAGATTCAATTAATTTTGAGTTGAGAGTAATTTAAATCAATTTGGATTAACTAAGATACATATAACTTTTAATTTCAAAATGTACATTTTTAAATTGGACCTTAAACTAAATATCACAACAATATCAAAGTAAGGCCCAATTAATTTTGGGTTGGGCATGGTTTGAATCAATTTAGATTAACCAGCAAATACATACCACGTTTAATTTGAAAATATACACTTTTAAATTAAAACTTAGACTAAATATCACAACAAACAATATCATACTAAGGCCCCAGTTGGTGCCATGTGCCTAATAGAATTAACCTGTTTTCTTCGCTTTTGTCAAGAAAAACTAAAACTAGAAGCTTCACCTATCTCAAATTAGGGTTTCTCCTCTTTATATTAAACTGGCGTCACCTTCTCGACTTTCACTCCAGCACTCTTTCTCTCAACCTTAGTTTCTATTCGCATTTGAAATCTTTCGCCAAAATTAGGTGATTATATGTTTAAGGGGTTTTCTTCATTTGGGTGCAAGTTTTGTTTTCGAATTTCTATGTCATTAGAGGTTATTTCAAGGGTATTCAAATTTCAATGTGCATGATGATTTGGAGATGGAAGTGTTGATTTTTTTTCCCCAGGTGATCCACGCTGAACATACTGTGCGATTTTTTCTCCTTCGAGAAACCAAGCCAAATAAATCTGATTCATCTATCCATATACATCTTTGCTAATCAGTTCTTTGTCCTCATAACTTTGGTTACTTTATAAATATGTAATAATTTAATTTTATATATGTATCTTACTAATAGTTTGAATATATATTTCTCAATCTATATATAAATAATATTAATGTAATAATTAATAGTTGTTGTTTAGTTGTTTATATTATGTGTTCTTCTCAATCTATCATTTATGTATTCTTTAACCCTTGAGAGCTTGATCCTTTAAGCAGATGTAAACAAGGATAACAAATGAATTTAAATGTAGTTGAATATAAATTTATTATAGTGTGTGTAACAGTGCACTGGAAATATCAACAGCAATGCCAGTTTCAGCTGCATGAACACTGACTTCACTTGTTTCCACTCTACACTTGGTAGTCAAAAGAGTAATTTCATTTTGCATCACTCAACAAAAGAAAGAGATCCATCATTAATTAACTCCAACCCCCCGTTGCCATGCCTAATTAACTCCAACCCTGATAAAGCACAGATTTCACCACCTTCACCCCACCACCAGCTGAAGTGGCTCTGCCACAGATTTCACCAACTTCACCCCCACCACCAGTTACTGCATTATCTATCTCCAGAGTGGCCAGAACCTATTTCTCGATCAGAGAATCCTTCGGATGGAGGAGGCGGAATGGAGGGACATTTATATGTAAACTTGCCAACATGTAATGGATAAGTTAACAGTTATTTTATAATAAATGTATCAGTTTTATTACTCTATTCCAGTACTACATTACTAGTGGCTTAAATAATTGATCAATGTAATAAAAAAGAATTTCATGAAAGTATTATCCTAATTTCACTCTATCTCAAGTTCATTACATTTCAGATATTGATATTCATAAGTAAGACACTACAACACAACACTTGAATGAACACAACAGAGTACGCTTCTTTTCTTCAAAATCCCAAATGAATGGATATAAAGTTTTTGTTATAAATTTAATCCAGCTTAATTGTAAAAATCAATTGTTTATGTTTTTCAGTTTTATAACAGAATTTTAAAATGGTAGGTCTTATTTAACCCTTTTAGTCACATATATATTCTAACAAGGTTTTGAATTAGTTACTAATTTACTTTGTTGATAGGCGAAATGAACCCCTATATCCTCTAATACAATACAAAGACCAAGAACACAGGAGTAGTGTAGCCATTGGTATGTTTCGTTATAATCAAACTCCATGTTCAAATGGACAATTCCCTTAATATTTGGCTTTATTTTATGAGAAGCTTAGCTATATTTAAATACAGAAAGCTTTAAAATAGTGCATGACATATTTATTGTGCAAATCATTTGCTTAAACTACGTTTTGATGCGGGTTAAAATGACTTCATCTAGTGACTAGTATCGTTACGAACGAACCAATACATGCATTGGGTCTTTCGAGAGATTCATCGGTTGGGGAGAAACAATGAGATAACAAGCAGCAAATTTTTTGCTCTTGCATGCATAAATCACAACCTACAATTTCTTACTTGTGATATGTAGAAGACAGTAACAGGGTATGCGAAACAGCCCCTTTAGGCCCAAAGACAAGCCCATCCCACTTGGATGAAGGATTACATCTTCTAATACTTTATGGTTTTTCACTTTTGTTTCAAGAAGATAAAACTGTAAAAATGCAAATGTTATTCTTATATTAGGGTTTTGCTTGTGAAAAATGAGAAAAAGAAAAGCTTATTCTTAACCTTGTTTCTTTATGCACTTCCCGCTGCATATTTTTCATCTTAAAATTACACGAAACTTAAGAGTATGCATGATTAGGGTTTACAAAAGTTAAACCTAATTTAATTTACAATCAATCATATAAATTAAATTTAAATCAATTATTTTTTCAAAAATAATTTGATTTATTAAACAAAATTATCGACAAAATTTAATTATATATAATTTTTAATTCAAAAACAATTTTAAAATTATTTTTTACCAAATTCTTTTAATTTTTTTAAAACAATTTTAACATTTTTTTTTTCTTGAAATTGAATTTTGTAAAAGCGAAATTTAAAACTCGTTCCTGGCTAAATATTGTTTTAAAATGAGGACCAGATAATTGAATCATTTTAAAGAAAATATCAATTTAGTTTAAAATTTAATCCAGACCCATTAGACCTTTTAAGCTTTAATTATGATTTAAAATTGTTTTCTTAATAATGATAAGAAATGTTATTAGAGTTTTGTTTTGTAGTGCTTAAAAGGTTTTAACCTTATGGTTAAACACACTCAATAATGGTGTCTTGTGCAGGTCAGGGCATAAATTCAAATGTTTCAAGTCATCCACACAAGCTCATCATCAAAATTATGAACCCAGACTTGTATATATATGGATGAGTTTGTTGGAGAATCCATGTAAGACTTCATTACAATTAATTAATGTCATATCATAATTAGGGTTGTTCTTGTGGACCAACAGTATACTTTATTTTCTTACTTAGTTTGTTGCTAATTATAACCTTATTCACTACTAATTTTTTATTAAGTAATGTATTTATTGCACACAACAATAAAAATTAATTGAATAGTTTACATAAAAATAGTTTTGGTTTTAGAGCGTGGCTAACCATTTTTAATTGCATATTATATTTCTTTTGAGCAAGCAGGACCAATTAAGATACATTTAATAAATTGTTGTGCTATAAAATTAGTTTGTATTATTCCTCTAATTTATGCTTATTGAATGGTTTTCATTATTCCAGAATTCACTTTTCATCACAATGGCTTAATCTAATTTTGTACAATTCACTTTTATTGTAATGAAATTTATTATTAGGATTAAATAGTTTATTTTAAGTGATATAACATCAAGCCGTCTTAGCTCAGTGGTAGAGCGCGTGGCTTTTAACCACGTGGTCGTGGGTTCGATCCCCACAGACGGCGTTTTTCATTTAATATTTATTTCCTTTTTACTTTTACCAATTTTTCGTTTATCTTTTTTATTTTCTTTACCTATTCTCGTCATTTAAAAGACGTAAAGCCTGTGTTGGTTAGTTCATGGGCTTCACGTCACCACCACTTAATTCATGGACTTCACGTCACCACCATCACCATGAAAATTCCACTTAACAAAGTGAAAGAGTTCATGAGATGATCATGCACTTCAAACCAAGACATATTCTCCACCGCCCCAATCCACCGCACATTCTTACTATAAATTCACCACTTCAACTTTTGATGTTTTTTTCACTCTATTAATTTAAGGGTCTTCATCGAATCATGTTCATCCCCTCTAATTTTGTAGCTAACTATACTCTTTAATGTCACCCACTAACAACCAGTTGTTATATTAATATACATCACTACCTTCCTCTGCTTTATATATGAACCTCTTCACTGTGACCAAACTTCCCGACACCAAAAATATATAATACAGTACCTAAAAGTCAAAGGGCTCTTTTGGATTCACATAAGCAATGAAATTTGAAGACTATCTCGTGGAGAAAAGCCAAGAACCTCACAATAGACAAGGCCTTGAGAAAGAGGTGAGCGAGCAACTTGTTTCATTTGTATCATTGTTTCTCCAAAATCCACTGATCATATTCCTCTTCATTTCCCATTCACACAAGACCATGATAGATCAATACATATATAAATCAGGATGTTTGAATAAAGTTCTCTGATTAATGTTTTCCTTTATATGTTGTCGTAGGTTGTCCAATTGCAAGCACAGTTGAAGTGTGAGGAGGCACTCAATAGGGTCTTACGTTGTGCACTTCATGGACCTGTTTTCTCTCTTCCACTCATTCCCCCATTGTTTCCACCTCAGGTATAGTGAAAACAAATACATAACACCGACAAATACCATCAGGTAAATATGTAGTGTTCCTTTTTTAATAGAAGATATTACATTGAATTTTTTTTACTTAAGTGATTGCAGGTTCGGGAGCTTCTTCAAGAATTGGCAATGGTTGAGGAAGAGATCATCATGCTAGAAAGAAAAGTTAAGGAACTAAAACTTAGATTGTTCCAGGAGAGGTACCAGAACATAGATTGGGAAATACACCATAGGAGACAGCCTAAACTAAATAAACAGTTCAGAGGATCGTCAAGGTATGATTCAATGATTACTGAACAGAGGTCAAGTTCACTCCATTATGAAGTGATTAGTAAAGGAAGAAAGACAAGCGATAGAAGGGCCTCTCTAGGCTCTGCATTGGATTTCCATAGCCTATTTTCCACACCAAGAAGGTCAACAGGTAAACAAAAGCACAGCTAATGCCGCATTTGGCTTCATAAATATTTCTCTATATTTATATTTTCTTTCTCTTCCGTTGAGGATCTCACGTTGACCAGTGATATAACCAAAATAGTGTACATATAAATAAGGGTAATCATCACTTCATTAGATAGCTTTTGGAATTGAACAAACCAAGCCTAATGCAATTGTAAGTATGAAATAGATCGGGCCGCCAGATAAGTCATGTAATTCTAAAACTAATTTTTTGAGATTGTATTAAACATTTATCCAAAATCGAAGATACTTTCACAGTGATTATAAAAATGACTTTGATTCCCATTTTCAAACATCCTTAATATTGTAAAAGACTTTTAAACAAACAAAAACACATCTGGCATGTTTTTGATTTTTCTGTAGCTCAATTGTCTCACAAGGTAGTTTGGATATGTGTAAACAGAATATGAAGTGCCAAGAAGGAGCAGTGGTAAGATAGCAAGAGAATACCCTATCCATATAGAAGATGCCATTGATAAACCAAACGAAATGTCAGAGGAACTGCTCAAGTGTCTGATAGGAATTTTTCTGGAATTGAACAAGGCATCATTGCACAGAGAAGAATCAGAAACTGTCCCTAGACTCACTCTTCCATGCATGAAGTCCGCTGGCTTGATGGCAAAGGCCTCATTAAACAGCAAGGCACCTTCAAATAGCAATGTCTCTTGTCTTGATCCTTATGGCATATCTTCAGATTTGGATTGCACAGCAAGAGATGTAGGACCTTATAAAGACTTCATTCAAATCACTAGGAGTTCATTGGACATAGACCGCTTTTCGCAATGCCTGCCAGCATTCAGGAAATTGAGGTTGACTTTCACCTTTATCAGAGCCTTAGTTCATTTTATTTCCTATACAAATCTTTGAAAGCAGGAAATAAAGCGAAAATTGAAAATGTTTTAACTAACCAAACAAGCTCATAGTTTACTAATAACTTTTTAAACATTGTCTACATGTTATAGTGCTATCTTCTCTGCCCATTTCTTCTTATCATCTCTTTCCTCTTTTATAGGGTGTTGATTCACAAGCTATGTGATGTGGATTTAAGTTTCTTGACCTACAAGCAAAAGTTGGCCTTCTGGATCAACATCTATAATGCCTGCATAATGAATGTACTGTAAGGCATTTCATTTCAAGTCTTCATTAACACCAGCTTATCTGATATCTCTGCGTGTAAATCTTAAGAACCTTTGTATTGTGGTCTAATTACAGGCATTTTTAGATTATGGTCTTCCTTCTACTCATGAGAAACTGTTGTCTCGTATGAATAAGGTATGTCAATGAGAGTGAAAAGTCTAAAACAACTGAGCAAAATTTTTTTGTCCAGAGGTTGTGAAGCATGAACAGTTATTTTTTTCTTAGAGATTGTGGTGATATTAACTATGCAGCAACGTGTTGACACAGGCTGCAATGAATGTAGGCGGGATTGTTCTGAATGCTCTGGCTATCGAACACTTTATTCTTCGACACCCATGTGAATCAAAACATGTACGATATGTATTTTAATTATGCAACAATAACTTCTCAACTGCACTAGCCTTCTTTTTACCTTATTTTCTTTCTTTTCTAAGGGAGGAGGATATTACTTGTCTTTACCTTTATTACTTTCTGAAATTAACTTAACATTAATGAATTTAGATTTTATTAAAATAAAACAATTTGTAAAACTCAGGCAACATAAAAAGCTTGAAATCATAAATTTTGAGCTGTTGTTTTGTTTCTACCTTTCCTAAATCACAAGGGAACCTTGCTACTATGTAAATGCAGTGTTGTTTTTCCCTCTTTGCGCGCGGAATCTGATTATTCTAAAGCGAACAACGTACTTTAGAGAATAAAATAAGTAACCTCGGTCTCTGATTTGGAAATCAATCATTGACATTTATTGTAAACAAGGAACAAATAGAATATCAACCTTCCGATTTTTTTTATCGATGACCAAGATTACTTATTTTATTCTTACTCATTTTAGATGAGTCAAAATCTTGTGTGTGACATATATGGATGTTCTTTAAGACCCAACTAACTATATAGTTCACAAAAGGGTCCTGTGGACGAAAAGGAAGTGCTATTACGGCATGCTTATGGCCTGGGATATCCAGAACCTAACGTCACCTTTGCTCTTTGTCGAGGCACCTGGTCCTCACCAGCAGTAAGTGTATTTAACTACCTTTGTTGAGGCATATTGACAAGACTTTTATTTGATATTATATATGATGTTTGTTGCAGTTAAGGGTGTACACTTCAGACGAAGTTGTGAACCAATTGGGGAGGGCTAAAGTGGAATACTTGGAAGCTTCAGTGGGTATCACAAACAAGAGAAGGATACTTGTGCCTAAGCTTTTGGAGTGGCATATGCACGATTTTGCAGATGAAATGGAATCATTATTAGAATGGATTTATAGCCAATTGCCTCGCTCAGGATCATTGAAGAGGGCCACGATGGAGTGCCTCATAAGAGAAACAAAATATCCTATGGCTAAGATGGTGGAAATTCAGCCATATGAATCTGAATTCCGCTACCTTATTCCTATATAAATAAAAAAGTAAAATGCAACACTTTTACTTTTTTGTTTTTTGAATTATTAGTAAAGTCTATATATGTTTGATTAAATAGTGTTATTTATGTTTCATTAACTAGCTTAAATTTATGAGCTTGCTACTAAGTATGAAAAGTTTTGACATGAACTTTGTTGGTTTTTTAGGCAAAGAACTGAATAATTCATTTTTCAATATCAGAAACATTGCAATATTTAAAGCCTAAAAATAACTTACCACTAACAACACGATCCTAAATTTTCTCCATGATTACAAAACATGGAAAACTACTTCCAAAAAACAGGAACAAACTTTGACATAATCATCTTAAAAAAATACGTGGACATGTCTCAGTCTTGAAGGACTCTTCCAACAAACTTTAACGAATGAAAAATTAGCTCACGGAAAAGAGATCATAAAGAAAGGCATGGGGTGATGACTCTTATTTTCCTGAAGAACTGAGAGGGGTTTAATTTAACATAACTATTTTTCGGTGATAATATTTTGTTTCCTTCTCATTAATGTTTTGTCACTGCTGTATGGAATACTGACTTGGATAGTTAAGTAAATGTATCTTTCAGACTACTCATTTTGATGTTACCTAAATCTTATTCTTTTGTGGTTGTTATGTAATTTGAATTATAGTGATTGAGATACAACTTTTGGTGAAGGGTTCTAATTCTATTTTCTTCATTCAACGGGCTCCAAATATGGGAGCAATGTGAGAGATTGTAGTGAAAAAGAAAAAGTAATCTAATTTAGTGAGGTGATTCTTGTATTTTTGTTGCTAGACAGACAGACTTATGTAAATGGATGAAAAATAAATAAATTTGTCCCTTTTATTTGTTCTGTGCTGCTTAGGAAAGAAGTGAAGGAGGTTTATTTTGTTTTCTTAACATCAAACCATAACAAGGTGATTCTTTGAAGTTACAATTCAGAATATATATAACATATTCTATGGATAATTTCGAAGGTCGTCTTAGCTCAGTGGAAGAGCATGTGGCTTTTAACCACGTGGTCGTAGGTTCGATCCCCACAGACGACATTTTTTTTTTAAATTCCATTCGTGTTTGTCCAATATTTTCCGGGACATTAATTGCATGTCCAAACATGAAAGAAGGTAAGTACTAAAATTTTAAATTCCACTCGTGTTTACGAGACATTAATTGCATGTCCTGTTACTTATATATATATATATATATATATATATATATATATATATATATATATATATATATATATATATATATATATATATATATATATATATAATTAACATGGATAAACCAAACTCGAACGTAGATAAGTACTAAAATTTTAAATTCCACTCTTATAAACCCAAACTTGTTCCAGCAATGGGGAACATGAGTGGAAGATGAACTAAATTCAACCCGTTATCATACCTAATTTCAAGATTTAAATTAAATACTACATCAAAGTAGCTTATCCTGCTTAGCGTAAAACTCCTAATATAATACAATTATGGATAAATGTATATTGTAGACCAACAGAATAACTACAAATTCCTATATATACAAATTTTTAAGATGTAAGGTAGGATGATGTGAAACACTGAAATAACTTATGAGTGGGCTTAATTTAAATGATAGAAAAAAAAAAACACGTTGCTGATACCTGTGAAAGAAAGGGTGTACCCAACCCAAATAATATCCTTTATCTTCCATTTAAAATTTGCAACACAACAATGAATAGTTTAATTATTATTTTTAATTATATATATATATATATATATTGTTTAATTATTATTTTTAATCATACAAAAATGAATAGTTTTTTTTTATTACAATCAGAAATCGGAAAAGTCGCGCCCGGCAAAATCTAAATGCTGCAATTTAATATTGCGTCAGTAGAATTCCTTTCCACGAGGAACGAGAAAAAAGACAACGTCAAACTCATTCAATAATAGTGCGTTAGTTAGAAAGCATGGATAAAAGTGCCGCAATACATATTAAAAAGGATGAGAACTCACAAGGACAAAGGAAATTAGAGAACAAATATTAAAGAGATTACAGTCATTTCAATCCCCACCCTACCCGTTTTTTCTTCCTTCCCAACAATATATAAAAAGGAAAAATCTGAATTCCAGTGACCCGCCAAAAGCCATAAAAATATCCAAAACAATTACTTGAACAGCATGATAGATTTTCAAATATACTTACCAAACCAATAAGAGAATTTTTATCCGATATCAAATATTACAAGTGGGGAACAGATGGTTCAACTAAGAAATTTATAACCCTATTTAAGAAATTTAAGCCAAATACCGTCTCTTCACAGTTAACTTTTACAGAAACAATTAACGGGTCGCAGCATTTACCTTCAACAGTAACTGTGATTAAGCATGGCATGGAATTGCTCAAGATCTCACAGCTGAAACGCAAACACAAACCAGATGCATCATCAAGGTTGGTAGCAACCGGCATATCCACAGACACAAGAGAAAGGTTTGCATTGCTCAGCATCTTTAGTGCTAACTTTTCACAGATCACAAGGAATTTGTCCTCTGTCAAAGAGTTGCTTCCCTTGTTCAGCTCGAGAATGTGATCAGTAAAGGTGCAACTGTATGCAAATTATGCAAGAAAAACAATTTTAGAATGACAACGAGGAAAAAAAAAAGCCTTGTCCTGTGATGAAACAGAAACAATAAGGGGGACAAGATGTAGGTGCACGGAACATAAAAGCTCATAATTAACATATATAAGTGATGATTAATGCACAAAATAATTACGTTTCTTGCACCATTTAAACTACCAAGGCAATTCCAATGCCCATCTCTTCAGTTTCTATTCAAATCAAGATGCAGCATTACTTTATCTGACAAGAATTGCGTGCGCCAGATAGTTAATATTCTGAAGCTAGCAATCACTTGCAAAGATCATTTTGTTTGACAATTATAGATCCTAACGTCATTAAAAAAAAATAAAAAATTAGAGTACAATTAGTTGGGCAAAATGCTAAGATAGGATCTGCGTAGCCATTCAAGTAAAACTATAAGGGTTTATGTGCTTTGTCGAAATGTTTTCTATTTTCAATAATAACTACAAACTTGTCACGTTGTTTTCACTTTGTTTCTTTCTTTCAAATATTTGTACAAAGAAACAAGACATCTTTGTATATCGTAAAAATAGAAACAAACAGAAAACATGCTCATTAACCAAACAGGCGTCTAATTATTCTGGATTCTAACAACAAAATGTACATACGGGATATACTCATTCAACCTTTTTTTTGTGTGCATATTAACCATTCAGAAAAACAAAAAACCACATTTCAGAGATACTTTCCCAAGGATGCTCTAAAGGATACAGAAATAACACAGAGCTTGAATAAATAATGTCCAAAACGTTCAAAATTATGCCTCCTTTATTTTTTATATACCCAAACAACCAAATTTATGGTCAAAACAACCAAATATATGGTCAAACAACCAAATATATAATCAATATATGGTCAAAAGACCGAAATAATTTAAATTCACTCAATTCCCCTTTTACTTACACGAAGCTTCCTATTCTTTAGACTTCAAATTTAAAGTTTTCTCCCTCACACTCTCATCTTGCATATGTATCGCATTTCGTAAGAATTTGACGGATGCCTAACCCTCTATTATAGCATTTAAGTTCTCAATATAATTAATAAAGTCTGGAGGTCTATCGTCTATGATAATACGACGAACCATAACTTTTCCAACAACTACAAGGCACGTGAACAGATATACCCAACACACAACAAATGACAGCCGTACCTCCTCACATATTCAAACATCCCTGGAAGATGAGATTCCTTCTCTCTGAAATCTTCAATACTGATTGGAAGTGGTTTTACAAAGTATCCTATGTCAGGCTTTAACTTGACAGGGAATTTCTTGTCATTGCAAAATAAAGACAGTTTCAGAGGCAATAGGTGGTGATGGAAACGAACCAGCAGCATTCGGTTTTCCGTCTGACCAGGCTCCAGAGAAGGGATCTCCTCCATGGAAACCAGTGCTGGTTTATCGACATGAAATTTAAGAGTACTGCAACAGACACAAAAGTAGACTGCATTAAGAACTTTAAAGCTACCATGTAACGATTTCAAATGGGTAAACTAGCCAGTACATATACCAAAGTTTACACAATGTACAGGGAATCTAAATTCAAATTTTCACCTTAAAGTGATCGGAACTAATTTATGGAACCCGGTAAAAAAAACATACAAGTTCTTAGAACACATCAATAACACAATAAGTATATAAAATCCAAGTTAAAAAAGCAGAAAAAAGAAGACAACCACCATACAAAATCAGAAAAGATTAAAACTTACTTTTGAGCTGGTGATGATATTTGATCTTTGGAATCAGAGCTTTTGCTATAATCTTCATCTATTAAGACTATATCAAGCATGGGTTCCAAAGAACAATTTTCAAATAATACTTCCAAACATACAAGGTGAGAGGATATGCTAGAAGTATCGGATAAAAATGAATAATGCACCTTTAACCCATTTCCATTTGCAGGATCTAAGAGAGTGTAGCATTTGGGTTTAACCCGGCTTCCTATATTGCCAATGGTTATTCGTGCTGAAGATCTACAAACTCGGCTTTGTTCTATTTCACTTCCTTTTGATGATCTGGTCGGTTCATCTAACCAAGACTCAAGAGACTTTGTTGACATCAAGTCCTGAAAACCAGTTGTACCAGAGGGAGCCCCACCATTCTGATTTTCACAGACATTGCCACTGTCTGAAATCTGAATCAATGGATCAGCATTATCTTCACCTTTGTTGCCAGAAACAGACTCATCACTGCCACTGACTCCGCCTGAAGCAGTAATAGACTGTTCAGAACTATAATCTGAAGCACTTTCCTCATTCAAAGACCCAGATGTGCCAGTATTCTCCTCCTCATCTGAATCACTCTTAGCAGCTCCATCATATTGATCAAGATCAGTGTATGGCTGGCTACAAGGTTTTGGGAGAGGCTCATAGCCTGGAGCTGCATGGAATACTAACTGTGAAAGTGACCCGGGGAGATAAAATCGGTAATCAATGGGTTCAGATGGAACTCTCACAGCTTTTGTGTCTCCACCAAATAAGCATTCTGCAAGTATATAGGACTGGTCACTTTTTTGTGATTCACTATTTTCTCCTGCCCCATGCTGAGACTCCCAATTACTAGAGAGAATTTTCTTCAAGAAACGTGACCGATCACGGATATCATAGTTAAGGTCACACTCAGCCAGTTCAATTACATAATTCCAAATTTTTCTCACAGTCAAAATATCTTCCCCCTTAATGCACAGTAAGACCTGTCACCAAAAGCCCTTTAAATCATTAACTCGTCACTTTCAATGGAACTCTTGCTTCCCTTTTTTTCTTACATAAGAAAGAAAAGCAATAAGAGGCTTGCAAATAAATTCAGAAAGAAAAAATGTAAGGTCCGGAGTTCTAAATCAGTTATCATATGGTCCTATAAAATTCAATATTTCTTTCTTCTGTATTAGTAGTCTTTAACAGACTGTCGTGATTCAATAAGAAGCAAAATGATTTATCCTCTTATTTCAGTCTGTCTAGGGGGGGGCTTCGTCAAGGACAAGTTTGCTACCGTCCATGTATGATAGGTAACAAGAAGGATTGTTCCACATTCATAACTGTGACTAGATCCTATGCTAACAAATTAATCAACTGATTAACAATATTTAAAAAACATCAGTCTTTTTCAAACAATAGTATAAAAATAAGTTGATGATATACCTTCGCAGTTGTATTAAGAATCTGAAGCTTAGTTTCTAATGCTTCTGACGTAAAATATTGGGCAAGATACTTAAGTACTGTACTCAACATCCTCGGAATTATCTCACCCAAAGAGCAATATTTCCCCAACATCCAAATAATGATTGCACGGGCAGTAGGAACCTTAATTTTATCCAAGCTCCGGACTAACCGAATTATAACCTTTTAAAATGCAAAAGTAGAAGTTTCAGTCATAAGTCCACAAGCAATGTACCAAAAGATTGCAAGTGCTACTAACTTGAAATTAAAATCCCACATATAAGATACTAATATGCAGTCCAATCTCGAATCCAGTTTGTTCCATATACTCTATATTGTATCTTGAAGCAAGTTTTAACTCAGTATAACAACAAAAAAAGAAATAACAGTGCTGTGGGAGATGATTTTATAAGAATAATACCTTCTCATAACTGGATGGTTCTAATTTTATAATTGATTTGATGGATATAATTGACTGAATTAGCACGCTCTCTTCGCCATCCAAGGATCTAACTTCACCACAAAAAAGTTCTGCAAAAATGGATATTAAACAAGAAACATGATATATTTCATCAGTAAATAGTTTAAACAACCAGATTACACACCTTGTCTAACCAGAGTCAATAATCCTTCCAAGCATGAAGCTGCCATGTTTGGAAGTCGTTGAGCACATACACCAATGGCAGCAACTGTGTCAGCAGAAAATCTCCTATCTGGATCTCTGATATAATCCTAGCAACACACTAAGAAGAGTGTCACCAAACAGCATGATTTAAATAACAAAGCTAAGAGTTAAATGCATAAAAACATAAAAAGATAATGAACCCTATGAGCAGGTGAGTGTGGATGCCAGCATAACTTATCTTAGGAGAAATATATATCGATGTGAAATACCTGAAACTCTTTACAAATTAATGAAATGGACGAATCTGTAGCAATAGAAGAAAGTATATCCAGCTTCAGTGCCTTTATCTGATAGGAATCTGAAGAGAATATGAAAAAATCTTCATAGTGTGGAGCAAAGAGAGATGGCATAGCTTTAGCAAACACTTGGATATTGCACAATACCTTCAGAAACCAATAAACAGACAATATTAATACTGAAGCCAAGTATCAAAGAAATTGAGAATATATGTTTTTTGCCTTATCCAATTATGTGTTCTACGTACCCCATCTCTCCTAATAATCATTTTATATCAAAATAAAATTTATTATTAAACAAAGAGATACTTTCCAAAATTTTAATTTCACAATAGTATGTCAATGGTAAAAGCAAGCAAGATATCTCCCAAGAACAATCAAACATCATTGTGTTGCAAAAGAATCAGCTTAAAAATAAAAAAATAAAAAATTGCAAAACTCTAACTCCTTGCAGCTACAACGCTATCTCTCATTACACTGTGTAGAGAAATCACTAAATGATCTATACGTTGAAAAATTAAATGAATGAATCACCAATCGAACATTCATTAATGCATATACTGACAACTGTCACCACTCACCGCAACTGATAAAATTTCCTTGTGTAAAAGCAAAATAAAAAATTCCTAAAACATGACAACAATGCCATCCATGTTTATAATAATAATAATAATAAGATCAAGCATTTAGGGAAAGGCCATTAACATAGCCTGCTAAACTGCACAGTTTCAGGGTTCATGAAAAATTCTAACTTAATACCCACACCATCTATGTAAATATCGTGGTGACACCCTAGCTAGAAGACACTGGACAAAATCATCAAAGTAGTGGAGTGAATCATGGAAGTGTCATAAACTCATCAAATGTAAAATGAAGGATAAGACTTGTTGGAATAGATTAGAAAATATATGTAATCATTATACCTAAGGTAGGAGGTTGAGTGTTAGATAATCTCTGCAGGGGGTTGAGTGTTAGATAATCTCTGCACCTAGTTCTAAGGAGTAATCTAGGACTGTGCATTTAATGTAATCTCCCTATTGTATCAGTTTTTATCTATATAAATACAGAACTATGAGAGGGGTTCTTCAAGCCCTCTAAAAACACTTTTTCTCAGTTTTTGAATATCAAGTTGGTATCAGAGCGGGTCGATCCCGCTCTGCCTGTTTCTGTAGTATTCGGCACTGTTTTTGCCGCTGTCCGCCGCCGGCCACTATCTCCGATCGTCCAGTTTTCGCCGGCGACCATCGGATCTGAATCGTCTCGCCGTGTGACAGCCAACCCCGTCGGTCCCGGAAGCTCGTTCTCCGCCACGTGCCGCCTCTTCATTTCGGTGAAGTCCAGTAGTCACCCTTGCGAAAATCACTCTTGGGCTTTCGGACTTCTTTGCTGTTTTCGCCCCCCCCCTCTTTGTCCTCTTGATCAGAAATGGCTGCAATTTCATTCTCTGGAAGCCCCTCCATTACTTCCGAAAAACTAAAAGGACAAAATTATCTATCTTGGTCTGCTACCGTCGAAATGTGGTTTCTCGGTCAGGGGCATCACGACCACCTTGAAAAAGACGGAAGCCATGTGCCGGAAGAAAAAGCTGAACAGTGGAAACAGGCAGATTTTCAACTATGTGCTCTATTGTGGCAATTAGTGGAACCAAGACTTTTGATGTCGCTTAGAGCCTTCAAAACTTGTCACTCCTTTTGGAAGCAAGCTCAAACCATTTATGCCAATGATATTCAACGTCTCTACGATTCCGCAAATAAGCTGGCATCTCTAAAAATGACAGATCATGATATGGTGTCCTTTATGAATGACGCTCAGTCGGCTGTGGAAGAACTCAAGATGTTCTTGGAAGTCGATTCCTTGGATGAAATGAAAAAGAAGCTTGACAAGTATTACATGGTGATGATCCTTCGTGCAATACATCCTGACTTTAACCATATCAGAGATCAACTTCTGACCACTTATGAAGTCCCTTCCATGGATACCCTTATCACACGTCTGATTCGTGTACCAATGTCTGAGACTCAGGAAGCTCTGGCTCTAGTAAAACCATCTGCCATGGTTGCCACACGAGAAAGAGGAGGACGTGGCACCAAAGGAGGAGGACGTGGAGGTCGAGGACGTCCTCAATGCACCTACTGTAAGAGGATGGGTCATACACAGGAGAACTGCTACTCCTTGCATGGTTTTCCTCCCAAAACCGCCAATGTCTCGAAGGCTGAAACCGTCAACTCCAAGTTCACTGAGGACGAATACCAAGAGTATCTACGGTTAAAGTCTAATAGCTTGGCACAGACCTCTCAAACTGCCAGCACATCAACTGCTTGTATTTCTCAATCTGTGGAGGGTCAAAATTCATGGGTAATTGACTCTGGTGCTTCTGATCATATATCTGGTAATACCTCCTTATTCTCAACCATTTCCTTTCAAGAAAAACAACATTTCATAACCCTTGCAGATGGCTCTAAAGCTTCCTCAAAGGGAGTGGGCCAAGTTTCTTTATCTCCCTCCATAAGCCTAAAATCTGTCCTTTTTATTCCTAATTGTCCTTTCAATTTAATTTCCTTAAGTCAGTTAACCAAAACCTTAAATTGTTCAATAACCTTCGATAACAAATCTTTTGTTTTACAGGAGCGTGGTTCGGGGAGACAGATTGGAGAAGGATATGAAGCTGGAGGATTATACCTTTTTGGCCCTCGTCCACGTGTGTCCTATGTTGCTACTCCGAGCCCTAAAATGTTACATGATCGGCTTGGCCATCCTCATTTGTCAAAATTAAAAAGAATGTGCCCTGAACTTAGTGGTCTCCAGACCTTAGAATGTGAGTCATGTCAGCTAGGGAAACATGTTAGATCTACCTTTCCTAAACGGTCTCAATCACAGTGTACTTCCAGTTTCTCTATTATCCATTCTGATATTTGGGGACCCAGTCGCATCTCATCTTTTGGTTTTCGGTATTTTGTTACATTCATTGATGAATATTCACAATGTACTTGGGTTTATCTTATGAAAGATCACTCTGAATTGTTACCCATCTTTATATCCTTTTTGAATGAAATCAAAAATCAATTCAATCAAGTAATCAAAATTTTAAGAAGTGACAATGCTAAAGAGTACTTCTCATCCACCTTTTCTACTGTTTTGAGTTCACATGGAATATTGCATCAGTCCACCTGTCCTCATACACCACAACAAAATGGTATAGCAGAAAAAAAAAATAGACATTTGGTTGAAACTGCACGTACTCTATTGTTGGGTGCTCATATTCCTGTCCATCACTGGGGGGATGCCATCTTAATTGCATGTTTTCTTATTAACAGGATGTCATCTTCCTCTCTCAGTAATAAGATCCCTTTCTCCATTCTATTTCCAAATAATCCTCTCTTTCACACCTCTCCTCGAGTTTTTGGTTGTGTATGTTTTGTTCATGATATGTCTCTAGGGTTAGACAAGCTTTCTGCTCGTGTTATCAAATGTGTCTTCTTGGGCTATTCCCGCCTTCAAAAAGGATATCGGTGTTACTCTCCTGAAACCAAGAAGTACTACATGTCTACCAATGTTACATTTTTTGAACAGACTCCTTACTTTTCTCCTTCTGTTCAAGATGTTCATGTCATCCACAGGTTCTTCCCATTCCAAGTAGTTGAGTCTAATATTTCCAATGTCTCTATCGATCTCCGTAGTGATCCAAGTCTTCCTGAACCATCCTCCCCTCAAATTGATGTTGTCAATCATAGGACCCCGATGGCTAGTCCTGTTCTCCAAGACGAGGGTGAATCCCCCACTTTAGATTCTTCTCCAACATCGCTTCCTACCATGACTCCTGGTGGAAGTGATTCAGGATGGCCCATTGCTCTGAGAAAAGGTACTCGTTCCACTCGAAACCCACATCCTATTTATAATTTTCTTAGCTATCACCGGTTGTCGCCTTCCTATTGTTCCCTTTTATCCTCGGTATCTTCTATTGCTATTCCGAGAAATGTGGAAGAAGCACTTGATCACCCTGGATGGCGACAAGCCATGATTGCGTAAATGCGGATTCTTGACCATAATGCTACTTGGGAGCTCATTCCCCTTCCACCGGCAAAAGGCAGCTTGGTTGTCACTGGGTATATGTCGTTAAAATCGGCGTTGATGGTGCAGCTTGATCGGCTCAAGGCTCCGGTTAGTTGCAAAAGGGTACACTCAGGTTTATGGCCTTGATTATTGTGACACTTTCTCTCCCGTGGCCAAGATGACCACTATTCGTCTGTTCTTCGCAATGGCTACCATTCGTCACTGGCCACTTCATCAATTAGATATCAAAAATGCCTTCCTACAAGGTGATCTTGAGGACGAAATTTACATGGAGCAACCTCCTGGGTTTGTTGCTCAGGGGGAGTCTGAACTAGTATGCAAATTGCATCATTCTCTATATGGCCTCAAGCAATCACCACGTGCTTGGTTTGGAAAATTTAGCTCCATTGTTCAAAAATTTGGGCTAAGACGCAGTGAAGCAGATCATTCAGTCTTTTATTATCATACATCTCTGGGTAAATGTGTTTACTTAATAGTATATGTTGATGATATAGTCATTACAGGAAATGATACTGTTGGAATATCTCAACTGAAGGAGTACTTGTGCAGACATTTTCAAACCAAGGATTTGGGAAGCCCAAAATACTTCTTGGGCATTGAAGTAGCTCAATCAAAAGATGGAGTTGTAATCTCTCAGAGAAAATATGCTCTTGATATATTACAAGAAACAGGTATGATTGACTGTAAACCTGTAGAGAGTCCTATGGACCCAAATAAGAAATTAACAACAGAAGAAGGTGAAGTATTCTTTGATCCAGAGAGATATAGGAGGTTGGTCGGAAAACTGATTTATCTCACTATTACAAGGCCTGATCTATCTTTTGCTGTTGGTGTGGTTAGTCAGTTCATGTAGACTCCATGTGCTGGTCATTGGAATGCTATCATTCGCATTCTAAGGTATCTTAAAAAGGCTCCCGGACAAGGATTGTCATATGAAGATAAAGGAAGCATTCAGGTCACTGGGTACTGTGATGCAGATTGGGTAGGTTCACCTGTTGATAGACGGTCTACCACTGGATAGTGTCTTCCTTGGAGGAAACATTATTTCATGGAAAAGTAAGAAACAAAATGTAGTGGCTCGATCGACAGCTGAAGCCGAATATAGGGCAATGGCGTCACTAACTTGTGAACTTATATGGGTAAAGCAGTTCATTCAAGAGCTTAACTTTTGTGATATCCAGACTATGAAGATGTATTGTGATAATCAAGCTGCTCTCCACATTGCATCAAATCTCGTATTTCACGAGAGAACTAAACATATAGAAATTGATTGTCACTTTGTTCGTGAAAAGTTGTTGACAAAAGAAATATGTACCGAGTTTGTTGGATCAAATGACCAACTCGCAGATGTGTTTACCAAGTCCTTAAGGGGACCTCGGATTGAGTTCATTTGTTCCAAGCTTGGTACATACAACTTGTATGCTCCAGCTTGAGGGGGAGTGTTGGAATAGATTAGAAAATATATGTAATCATTATACCTAAGGTAGGAGGTTGAGTGTTAGATAATCTCTGCAGGGGATTGAGTGTTAGATAATCTCTGCACCTAGTTTTGTGGAGTAATCTAGGATTGTGCATTTAATGTAATCTCCCTATTGTATCAGTTTTTATCTATATAAATACAGAACTATGAGAGGGGTTCTTCAAGCCCTCTAAAAACGTTTTTTCTCAGTTTTTGAATATCAAGTAGACTAAAAATAAGATCATTTCTACAAACCATGGGATGCTTAAGGTATCCCAGACCCTACACTATAAACTGTATTCATTCAATTCACATTTGGAACAGTACATGTATATAGACCAAAAACAATTATCATTGAATATTTTAGGCACATCATAATTGCAAATCTAGACTCTTGAATATGGAAGATCTCCTACCAATGCTATAGATAATTCTTCTCTCATGGCGGCTATAACATCACTTCAATGACCCTACACCAAAAATATTCCTTTCTCCTTTTCTAGAACTAATTTAAATGATATCAAACATACACAGAGCTTTTTTCTACTTTCAAAGGGTAGGAAGACTGATCTGCTTCTCACTAAACTCATTTAACAGTTTCATGAGTCACATGGACGACCAGTAACTAATATAATCAAAAAGGGGGAAATGGAAACATCATCTAACAAAAAAATAAATAAAGATGTAATAGGGAACAAAGAATAAAACACAACCTATAAAGATACAGTACACATTTACACAAGGTTCTCAAAAGAAGATTTCATATATAATTTATGAAAGTACCAAATGTCAAACAAATGAAAGTAACAGACAATGTAGAATAACATAAGCAAAACAAGATAACAAACTAACAAAGGAATCAAGGAATGTTGCATACCACATATCTTGAGGCAGACGATGATCTCAGCACAAACAAGAGTGGTTTAACAATTCTTTTGATGTGCTCCTTAGAAGCCATTATCCAGTGCACACCGGCAGCTGCAAGAACAACTGCGCTGTTATTACTCCATAGCAATGGTGATGTACACTGCAGCAGGATCCTCACAACATCATTACTGCAAGATATATACTGTGATACATCTAATTTAGGAGGAACCCTATTTGTAGAACTTGAGCGTGATAAGTACTCATCTGGCCCTTCAATGTAACATTGGAAGATCATATTCGCTAATTCAGATACAGTCATATCAATGGCATAACTTGCATCTTCGATTGAAGTAATATAGGATTCATCTTCCTCTAAATTGCCAACGTCTTTATTATTATTCAAAGAAAACATGACAGATTCTTTGACAAGCCCATGCCTTGCTATCACATACCGCAGAAGGATCCCAATTAGAATTATTTGACCCCACTCCTCCACATCAGGAAGAATCTCACACAACCGTTTGTAATTTTTTCCTATCAATGAAAAATTGTTTGGGCAAACAGAAGTAAAAGCAGATGCAGCAGCTCCAACAACTCCCGGGGAGTGGTCATTTAAAAGTAGTCCAACAATCTGCAGCATAAGAAGGATCAAAATTTATGTACTTAAGGACACAGATGAAGTGCTGCAACAACTTAAACATCTTTTGGCAAGGGCAAATGATCAAATGAAGCACTATGCGGACCAGCTAACATCAGGAAGGTGAATGGCTATTCTTCAAAAATTATGCCACACAGGAAGGGCCAATATGAGTGCAAGTTTATGGAAGAACAATTTCCTCATCTCAACCTTGAGGATAAGGTTGATCCTCCAGAAGTAGGTAATGTTAGCAACGGGAATAAGTCACCTGGGATAGTCTTGAAATTTTATACAGGAAGGAAGAGGAGGCAGGAAGTAGCTCCATTAGTTAATAGTTAATATAACTGGGACATTCTAGGAACAACTACTATTAAAGTAATTAGGAAGATTAGTAGGGTTCATTAGGTTAAACCGTCGCAGTGGCAAGAGAAAAATTATAAGATATAAATACAGATTAGGGTGCACAAAGATAGTGTGTGAGGGATTAGAAACAAAGCACTGCAATGTAATAAGGGAGTTATCTCTTGAAAGGTCAACTTGACTTTGGCATTTGAATAAATAATACAGAGGAAGTTATTCTTGATTTGTTGCTGATGTTCATCTTAATTGTCACGTATATTATTGGGTTTGTAACATAAACCCTGAAAAAAACATCACATTACTTGCTCCTTTATTATTATGTCATCTAGGTCAGTTGAAGACATATCTCAATAACTTCAATAAACAGCAGAGCATTAACCAGACCTCTTCAATTGCAGAAGCATGTTCCTCCATCCGCAAATCATGAAGCTTGGGAAGAGCATTAGCAGCACATTTTCTAACATACACAGAAGGATCTCTGGCACATTTCTGCACAGCAAGAAGAACAAGAGGTGCAATTACATGAAGGCGGATTCCAGCCATGGCACGAAGCGCCCATGCCCTCACCAACGGATTTGTGTCCCCAAGGTCCTTCTGGAAGCAATTAATCGACAACAAAGCCTCATTCGGTCGCCTAAATAAAAGGGAAAAAAAATATTAAGTTAACAACAACTCATAATTGACAATATTCAAGACCGCATAATGCTACAATTAAACAACAGCGTAAATTAACTTCAACTTCCAAAGGCCTAATTAAGCACATTCATACCTAAGTCATGTTTTATAATGGGTAAACAAAAATATATCTAATAACCTCCGACGCTTACTTTTCAAATAGCTCTACACAAATCGAAAGAATTATAAACTTAATCCAGGCACTTACTTTTCAGCATAATGCAGGAGGTACAAGTAGACGAGCTTCTTCACTTCCAAGGACTGAGACGCAACATTTTTAACAACCTGTATGTTTTTCATAATTGAATCAAAATCAGTGTGAGAGAATGAAAAGCGCCCGTCAACATAAATCATATCGAACTCCTAATCATGTAAACTGAAAAAAACTCCATAGCGCTGTCTATCTAAATGCAAAATCCTCTTCATAAGGAAGGTGCAACGAACCGAAATCCGCACTACATAGAGAAGAAAGAGGCGAATGAGGTAATGGTTCAGGAGGCGTAGATCGGTACCTGAGGGAAGAAGTTGGACACGTCGAAACCCTGAGCGATGAGAGCGAGCAAGCGCTTGAGAGCTTCGCATTTCTCGGAATCGAACTTGCTGTCGAGGAGAGGACCGATACTAACGTCCTCGGGATCGTCGTAGAGGTGAGCGTCGGTTCCGATCCGGAACATAGCCGTCGAGGCCTTGCTCAGAGATTCCGCCGTCGCTCCAAATTGGGGGAACATCATTTCTCTTCTCTCTTTTTTTTTTTTCTTTGATAATCTCTGAATGGAATGAATAGTTCTTAATCAGTGCCTGTGTACAGATCAAGTGTACAAGGCGCAGGGTGCAGCGAGAGCCCAGTGATTACTGTTTGGATGATCGGAAAGCAAAATTAACAGATTGAATACTGTAAGGTTTTTTCTCCTTTTTAGTTGAAATTTTCCATACAAATTTCCCTTATTATACTAGATAATAAATATGTAGTAATAAAAATGTGATGCTTTGGTTTTTAAATTATTAAAAGCTAAAACGCCATCACTTTGATTCTTATTGAGAACAAAATAAGTCACGTTAAAAAAATAAAACTTAAATTTATTTAGAAGAATAAATTATTTTGAATAATAGAAGTTGTAATCAAATATGATATTTGGAAAAAAAAAACAAATAAATCTCGACCTAAAAGTAAACTTTGAAAGAATAATTACAAGTTTTAAAAATTATATAAAAATAAATCTTAACTATTAATTAAAAAGTCGAACGTTACAATAAAAAATAAAATATGATAATGTGTATAATTTATCTTAATATGATTATTATAATAACGATAGTAACTAAAAATAATATTTAAACATATATATTTTCAAACATAAAAAAAAAACATTAATAACAACAGATTTTTTTAAATTAAATTAATTAAATTATGTTTCTAAAAATATAATTAATTTAATTTAAAATTAATATTGTCCTTTTTTTGTATTAAACTAATTATAGTTAATAATAAAAAAATAAAAATATGAAAAAAAAAACAATATCTCAAATATTCAACACACGTTATGAAATTACACTCATAGCTATAAAGAATAAAAACATATTTAATTTTATATTTTATTTGGTAGATAAAATATAATAAAATAAAATGTAATAGTTTAGTATATAAAAAAATATAAGATAAATAGTTAATACTCTTATCATAATTTTTGCCATATTTATTATTTCTAACATAATTAACAATACGACGATACATTTGCATTAACAATTATAATTAATTTCATAATAATAATAATTATTATTATTAAAAATTATATTTTTATCAACATTATGATGTGTCATCTCATAATTATTATATTAATTATTTTTATTATTAATAAGGACCAGAGGATTAATATCGAATGTTGAAATGATTGATTTACATATTCAAAATAATTTTTAAGATATATATTTACAAAATATCACGTCGATTTATCCTATTTCAAAATGTGATATAGTTTTAAATGATAAAATTTACCCTTCTATATTTATCTTGTCCTCAATTTCCATCGTAAAGAATTTATTTCTAATAAATTCAGCATGATATTCTCAAGGATGTTGTGATATTAATTTAAGTTTTTCTTATATATAAAATAAATAATACATTATGAGTGTGTTTACTGTGAAAATTTGATCGATTTCGATTTCTTAGAAACTTAGGTTCTAATCAAATTTCAACCACGTAGATTCTTTTAACAATTTTCAATTAAAACGTGTATGAGAATCGAAAATGTCACAATATCGAGAAATGTTAACAATGCAACCGATCATACAGATTGACACTCGAAAGTATTCTTTTTGGTATTTTTTATTAAGAAACATGAAGTAAAGAAAACAGTAAAACGTATCGAAAATGAAAGGCAGTACAGAATATTAAATTACAAAGAATTGTAAATGCGGAAACCTCGAATTTGCATTAACTGTAAATGACAACGAATTAAAATTACATGAAAGTAAATAGCAGGACATCGAAATTGCAAAAACGGTAAATGGCAAGAATTTGAAAGTACAGAATCTTAAATTACATTAAAGGTAACTGACAGGTAATTGAAAGTACAGAAACTTACATTGCATTAAAGGTAAATGACAAGTAATTGAAAGTACAGAAACTTAAATTGATGAATGTAAATTGCATGAAAGTAAATTACCAGGGAAAGTAAAGAAAGCGATAAAGACAATTAACGATAATGAAAATCCAGAGCATTAGAAACTTCATGATGCGTCGTTCTCCTATAGACTTTTCACTAACGTTTCTGTTCTCTCTGCTAATTCCTCTTTTTCCTTCAATCTTCGCTCTATTTATAGAGCATCCTTCAGGTAACCTCCTAAGAGCAGTTAACAAAACTACTACCACGTTCCACGTGCACGTCCCTCGAAGTTTTACCTTAGTTCTACGGTTTAGAAAATTGCTTCCACGTTCCATACACGTTTTAACCATTCCTCAATTTATAACTTAGCCATAATTTCGATAGCCATGTAAGTTAACCTTTCTCTCTATCTCGATTTCAAATCTCGAGAACTTTGAATTGCTTTTGATTTCCCTTAACCTTAACAATACACTTGATTCTAATTTCTCGATTTTCTTCAGCAATAGACATCAAATATTCTTCTTTCGATTCTCGATTCCAATTCTCGATTTATGTGTTCATACTGTTACATGGTCATCGAATGTCTTCCAACCATCTTTTCAATTTATCAAATTTTTAACTAATCATATGATCCTCGATTTTCTTTCCTCCGCTTTTCGATCCTTATATCGATTTTTTCACTAACAAAATGCCCCCTTGGAAGAATATAAATATTTGTACCAATTTTATATTCTTACAAAAAAAACAAATCCAGCTCTTAAATATTCCTGAAGCCCAAAAAAAAAATTGTTTAGGATTTAAGGTTTTTAAGGTTTTGCTGCTTTATGTCAAATATCAAATCACATCACCTTTCATTATCACAACGCGATCCACTAACGCCACGTATTAATTACCTTCTTCTCATATTCGTTGTTTCCAATATCCTAATTGGCCTCTTTAAATACTCCAATCAATTTGCACTATTTTTACCAAAAACCTAACCTATCTTCTTTCTTCGCCACACATTTTCCCCGTCTTCACTCTTTCCATAACTGTAATGGCGACTTCCAAATCTTCTGACTTCCCCACCCCGCCATTGTCGTCGGTAACTTCAAACCTAATAGAGATAAATGGCAAAAAGTTTACTCCAATCCCCTTGTTGGAAGAAGCTTCACAGAAAATTATTGAGACACAGGTACTTATACCTTACGCAGTTGATAACGTAGATTATGCATTTGGTGGTCCTATCTGCTATTGTGGTGGGTCGTTTTCCTCTTCTATCTGTCTTCCTTCAGAGAGTAAAGCCCCTATTCATAAATCCGAGGTACGGATTGATTTTCTAAATGTTATTTCGAAAGTATATCGAACGGGCCCTCCCCATAAAAAGCCCTTATACATCAAATGGTTTGATAGAGTAAAGACTAAGTTTGGGAATCACTGGAGAGATATAGGGATTTTCGATTTTCTACACCTATCTCGATGCGATCTATCATTTCTGAATATGTCTATGTTTTTATCTGCGGTCCATTTATGGAATAAAGATTTACACGCGATGGAGCTTCCCTGTGGTCCTCTTTCCCCCACTCTTTTTGAGGTCGCTGCAATTACCGAATTAAAGTCCACAGGGGAAAAATATTTTAAGAGTGATTTCCTTTCAGACGACTCTCTCAAATCAAAAATCGATTGGGATTTGAAGGCCTATGGACACTTCATCGAAAAACATTTTATTGATGACCAATCGGTAGCCGTTTCTAATGAAGAACATGTTGCTTTTTTGGTATATTGGCTTTGCACCCATGTATTTTGCCCTCGATCCATCCAAATCTCATCCCATTTTTATAATCTTGCCTACCTTCTCCACACTAGTCAACCTCGAGTTTGTTTGGCGAAACTTTTACTAGCCCATGTTTATACCACTTTCGATGAGGCAGTCGATATTCTGAATACACAAAGACCCTCAGGAAATTTCTTAGGTCCTATATGGTTCATTAAATTATGGTTCACTTCGATTTTTGAAAGTATCCTTCCCCCACCATCCAAAATTTCCCCAAGTTTTAATTTAGAAGGTGCTCGATTATTGTCTCGACATTCTCAACAAAAATCCTCCACTGAGGCTAGTTATAAAACCTATCTGAAATTTTTGTTAACTCGATTTCATTTTGATTCATGTCTGGCTCCGTTTACTATATACCATGGAAAAGTAAGTGATAGACTTCGAGGACCAACCTGGTTTAAATCAAAATTCTCAGCTCTTACTTCAGGGTTACAATCGGAACTAGTAGATGTATGGAATAACTATTTGACCCAAGACGTTCTTGTATCGGGCTTTCAATTGAAGGATATCCAACTTGTCATCTATTACCCTCAACTTTTTTCGTAGCAGTTCGGTTTAAGTCAAACTTTACCTTTTTTCAATCTCGATAGTTCCCCAAAGTCCAAGTTAAATGAATCAAATGTAGGACGGGAACTTGCCAAACTATTACCACAAAGCCCGCTGCATTTCTACCCTTATGCTTTTGAATCAAATTACTTATCTACTCTTGGTTTTTCTCAATGGTGGAACGATTGGTTTTCACGAATTCATTCTGACTTTGATATCGTCCAACCGAAATTGACTGCGCATCCTTCTCTCATTGTGCAGGATAAATCGAAGACCAAGAAAGGTACATACTCTCATTATCTTCAAATATCTCGATTTGAAAACTTTTATCGAGAATGCTACAACCCTCTTAAATTAGAAGACACATTTTACAATGTTGTTATATCTCTAGCTAATAAAACAAACACCAACAAATCGAACCACAAAATAATCAATCCTCGAGGAAAAACCTCATTTGAAATGTATTGTCTCAACCATCTTTCCACTTTCCCTACAGCCCCTTTTGGAATCGACAAACCTTTAACTCATCCTAAATGGATTCGAGAGTTGAGATCCTTGAAAGAAACTATTTCACCAAAACCCAAGAACAAGGAAATTTTGATATCGAAACTATCCTACTTCTCTTACCTAAACCTTCCTCAACATCTTCTTCCTCCCTAGCTTGTCCATATCGATCGAGTCAAGATTTTAACTTCATCACCTTTTGGTGAAATTTTATTGCCTCTTTTAGAAATATTTTTAATTTTCTTCAAATTGTAATCTAACTATTTTT